GCCCACTCTACATCCTGGTGCGGTTTGGAAGAATTTGACAATGGATGATGGGACTTGCAGTACCTTTGCTCACTTCCTGAGACCACTGAGACCCTCGCCAATGACTAATCAAGACTAAACTTGGCACATGGAGCTCCAATGACCCACTCTACATCCTGGTGCAGTTTGGAGGAGGACAGACCATGGATGATGGGACTTCAAGTACCTCCACTACCCAAGACTGCTGCAAAACTCATCTAATGACCAATCAAGACCAAAGTTGGCACACAGAGCCCCCATGACCCACTCTACATCCTGCTGCAGTTTGGAGGAAGGGGTGGACCATGGATGATGGAACTTCCAGTACCTTCACTCACATTCTGAGACCTCTGCAAACCTCATCCAATGACGGATCAAGACCAAACTTGGCACATAGACCTCTCATGACCCACGTTACGTCCTGGTGTTGTTTGGAAAAAAATTGGAGATGGATGATGGGACTTGCAGTACCTTTGCTCACTTCCTGAGACCACTGAGACCCTCGCCAATGACTAATCTAGACTAAACTTGGCACATGGAGCTCCAATGACCCCCTCTACATCCTGGTGCAGTTTGGAGGAGGACAGACCATGGATGATGGGACTTCAAGTACCTCCACTCCCTTCCAAAGATTGCTGCAACCCTCTTCTAATGACCAATCAAGACCAAACTTGGCACATAGAGCCCCCATGATCCACTTTACATTCTGCTGCTGTTTGAAAGAGGATGGACTTTGGATGATGGGACTTGCAGTACCTTCACTCACTTACTGACACCACTGCCACCCTCATCTAATGACTGATAAAGACTAAACTTGGCACACAGAGCCCCCATGACCCACTCCATATCCTGCTGCTGTTTGTAGGAGGATGGCCCATGGATGATGGGACTTCAAATACCTTCACTCACTTCCTGAAAATAATGCAGCCGTTATCCAAAGACCAATAAAGACCAAACTTGGCATACAGAACCGCCATTACCCACTTTCTCTAATAACCCGGCAACGCCGGGTCCCCAAGCTAGTAATAAATAAATAGAGAGTTTCACCCTTTTCTCAAAGCCTCAGCTCCATGTGCCCCCTAAAAAAATTGATTGCTCCTGAAGATCAGGATATTTTCTAGAATGTGGTGGAATGTGAGAAAAAAGATTGCTGTGAAAAGCTGAAACCAATGGTATGTGAGTCAGGCACCTTGTGCAACATTCAAATCAGAGATTATAGGTGAATAGGTTATTAGAATAGATGCATGTACCTCCCACAATTCCCTAAATAAACCATGTGTGTCAAAGGCCTATCCAGTATAGCCCCATAATTTCTGGCCCTGGATGCCCACCACTCTTTGTTCTGCCCTATGGCCCTCCTTGAATTTGAATCAAGAATCTCCAGGTGACCTTGGCGTGGATAAATGTATTTTAGAATTGGTTCCTGTAATGCTAGGCATAAATATCTATGTTCCAAGTAGCCGGTAGTTTATTTTCATAACTTACAGAACAGCTGTTGCTTTATCAGGTTCTGGTGCTTTGTTCCAAGCATATATTAATATTCAAACAAATTGATGTCAGATCTTTTCCTCCAATTAATTTAGACATCTAGTATAGATTCACTCTCCTTTTACTCTCACAACTGACTTCTTCATCTGTCTTCCTCCAACTCCCCTTTTTAAAAAAATCCTCTCATTCACAAAAGTCCCTCCCTCCCCTTAAATCTCTTTGCTCTGAGGGGCTGCTCTCCATAATTCATACACATGCTTATCCAAGAGTCATTCAGTAACGCTTTTGTCAGTTCTCATTCTCTTTGCTTCTTCTGTTATGGTATTTGTCAGGGGTGCTTTGAATGCAATATTCCTGCTTCTTGGCAGGGGGTTGGACTGGATGGCCCATGAGGTCTCTTCCAACTCTATGATTCTATCACAACATGGTAATCTAAACTCACACAATTAATTATTTTATTGTGAGAATGTGCATTCATACTTATCAAAAGAATAATTTAAATTACTGGTATTGCTAAAAAGTTTGGGAAACACTGGATGCAACAAAGAAACAGGAATGTTTTAAAATTGTGAATGAAGATGTTACTCATATGTATCTCATGGAATTCTGAGGGCTGTATGGATTGCAAAACAAAACAGAACAAAAAAAGGAAAACCCTCCAGAGCATAACAAAATCAATAAATGGCTGGACCTTTTTATTTTAGTTTTTTTTTAATCAAACAGTACAGAGCAGTTCTGTACCCTATGCAAATATAGGGCCAAAATTTCTACACTCCTGAGGTGGATAAGTGAAGCAGGGGCACGTCATCAATGATGAGATGCATGCCTTCATAAAATCTACAACAGGCTTCAGTCAAAGATGATGAGAAGAAGGTACTATCATCTGAAACACAGAGACTTTTACCTTCCCTTGTTCTATAGTTGTTTGCACTGTAGGGACTAATTAATTCGTTGTGCCAGGTTTGCTTTATTTCTTTCACTGCTCTTTTTTCTTCCACTATGCCTTTTTAAAAATGCCCAAGGGTATCAACCATTTTATTACTGATCACTATAAACTAACCTAAGTTTCTTTTTGGCAGAACAGCAAGGCATATATATTTTAAACAAACAAAAAACAATTTCAAGCCTTCACCAGGAGGCTATTATCTTACTGGGTTGTTGTAGATTTTTTCGGGCTATATGGCCATGTTCTAGAGGCATGACGTTTCACCTGCATCTATGGCAAGCATCCTCAGAGGTAGTGAGGTCTGTTGGAACTAGGAAATGTATTGCCTTCAACAATACATATTATCTTACTATTTAATATGAAACTTTTGACAGAGAAATAGGTTTTGCTTCCGAACCATCAACTTAATAAAACTTTCGTATTACAATATAGATGCCTTTAAGAAAGTCATTCTGGCATATGATCCCACTGAATCACTCCAACATGCTTCTTTGAACTTGACATGTTAGACAAACAAATTAAAACCTTTTTTACCTATTTTGTGCTTTAGAGGACAAGTGGACAAGAACATTGTCTACTGTGTTGTGGACAATGTTCTTATTTTATTGTGATGTCAGGATGGCTGAAGTCAGAAATGAAATATTCTGAAATTACTATTACTACTGTTGTTTCAACAGTAAAATTTAAAAGTGCAACTCTGCAAGGATAGCTAAAACATGATTACAGTCTCTCTCTCTCTCTCCAGCTAGGTATCTTATTAGAAGATAAAACATGTTTATGCCCTTCCCTTACCAGCAGGAGGAAGATATAGTTCATGTCCAGATAGAGGCCTACTTCCTGCAACAAGTGGCTTCGTTTGCTCAATGAGGCTGTGGCGGGCAGGGGGTGGCGGCGGAGGAAGTGAGGGTGGAGTATTGTCAGATGCACTGTCACCTGCATTGAGAGATAACCTGTTATAGAAGCAAATCTCCTTTAATGGTATGATGAAAAGTAATGCTGAACATTTATCATGTCTGGCCATGAAAAGAGTCTCTTCCTCCAAGGTTTATCTAGGACTTGGGTGATTCCAGTAATCAAGCTGTAAGCCTCATTTTTATTATGCAGAAGCTGAGACTTGAAAGTATGCTATGAATGACCTTTTTATTGTACTCAATCCACTTTATTCTTTTTAGAAGTTCTCTCCTGGGTTTTAAAATCACCTGCATACTTGTAACTGTGCCTAAAAGACTGTACTCTGATGAAAGGCTATAATATAAAAAAGCTTACTGAATATTACGATAATTTTAGGAAGATCACCACTGCATCCCTTCCTCCCAATATATATCATTACATAGTGTTACTATCAGAAAATGCATATTGACAGATTAAGAGGCAAGAATCTAAAGAACAATTCAAAGAACAAATCAGTTCTCAAAGGCCTATTACCTTTGGAACTACTACTGAGCCAGGGTTTCAAGTCTAGGATTTCAATGTAATAAAAGGCTAATGATGTTATCTCTTGCTAGAGGAAAAAAAAAGAAATTCAGCAGTTTCCCAAATGGGGTTGAATTTTGCATTCCTTGAGCCCTCAAGAAATTTTAAGGGGGAAAAGGGGTATTTGAAAAGTTCCTGCAAATTCTAAGAGCTTTTTTTGGTCTCCAGTACACTAAAAAACATGCAGTTTCTGAGAACTATACATGGGTCTGAAAAACTGCACACCCTCACAGTTAAAACCTACTCTCACAATATTTTTTACTACATACAGAGAACCACACAGCCTCTTGTAGAGGAAATATAACACCAGCTTACCTTGTTTTTCAATATATATTTGGTCAAAATGCAGAAAATTAAAAACTAAGTTGCATATTGTGCTGCTAAATAAACAATATGGTGAAGCAATCTACATTATGGTTGTAGCCCTTGACAGATGGAAAGTTGCGCCATCAAAATATTGCTCAACAGGGAAATAAACATGGGCAGATTGAAATTTCAGTCACATGCGATTTTGTTGTGTACCATTGTTGGTTTTTTTTCATGTGGAAATCCAACAATTTTGTAAAAAAGAATGACACATGGTTTTGCTGTGAAACAAAGCTGATTTTGCACATTTTGTTGTCTGGAATTTTGTTTTGCAATTTTGCAATTTACTATGTAAAACAAATTCCAATGTTGCAGAAAATGTACATACGGCTGCCTGAAAGTATTTCTTTATAGAAAACTATACATGAATGACACAATTTCTAGAAAACTATGGTTTTCTGAAGAAGATTAATAGCTTTTGAAGAAAAGATGCAGTTTTCCATTGCTGCTGGGAAAAAATCCTGGATGTCGGAAAGTTGTGGAATGAAAAACCATTACGTTCCTCTCAACATCTGTCAGAACTTGCTAATATCAAGATTTACTATAGTTTCATATTTGTGCTATTATACAACTCTAATCTTTATTTCAATAATAATGTACCAACTTACACATATGTTTGTGGTGCTACAGCCGAAGAAACAAAACTTTGTGCAGAAAATTGCATGTGAGGAAGAGCTCACATACAATTTGCAAGTCATTTTTAATGCTACAGGATAAGTTGTTTCCCAAAATTCAAAAGGACTTTGAGAGAAAAACTAGATAGATAGGGTGGGCCAAAATGTAACATTTTCTTCATTTTTTTTTTAAAAAATTGCAATACCATAACATCGTTTTCAGTATATATAGGAAATAAAATTACGTTATATTGCACTGTTTCTATATAATCTTTTCAAAAAACATTTTTGAAACATCATATGCCTTTGAGACTTTTGGCCTGCACTACAGAAAAGTCACTGAATTCTCTTTTCAAGAAGTACAGAAAATTCTGATGATCTTTCTTGTTATTTTTTCTTTCAAATTCCTGATGTGCACATATTCTAAAACATATTCAAGACACGTCTTTTATGAAGTATTTGACAATTTAGGTTAAAATTTAAGCAATTTTATATTTTTTATTAAATGTCCTTATCTAGCTTTTCTTAAATGCATGGTGTTTTATTAATTTCAAGTATAAATACAGTAATAGAGAAAACATTGATTGGCCTGATAATTTTTAAGTATCCCAGTCTGTGAGCATTTTAGACAAATTATATTATTTTCCACACCAACTATCCTTCAGAATTTATACTATAAGGCAGATAGCAATTTTATTAATGGAAGGGGGGAAAAAGAAGATACAACCTGGAGGGTGTACCAGCAGATCGTAATCAGAAGGAGTCCTGTTGAGTACTGCGCCATGTTTCATATTTTCTCTCACAGGAGGCCGTACCGGTGGTAAAGGTATTGAGACAGTCGACTCAAAGGCTTCTTCTGAACAACAAAAGTAGCATATTCAAAACAGCACTTTAAAAAATGTTAATTTGGCTCTCAATTTGAAGTAGCAAATATGAAGGCATACCCATTTCTGGCTGTTTCAATCGTTTCATCTCGGAGGCAGCACTGTGAGTTTCACTAATTATTCCAGAGCATTGACCATTCTCACATACCCTGAAAGCAGAGATGTATAAAAGCACACACTTTGATATTAGTCACATGAAAGCAATAGCAGACAATTTATCATGATGACCATTAACTCATTAAGCCATCGTGATTTTAACACTTCAAATTAGCCCTATTTACTCATTTAAGAGTGACATGTCAGAGGCAGAAATTAAACACAGAATTAAGATCAAGGCTATGTGTCATTTTTTAAAAGCTTTTAGAAGTATAAGGTTTTTGTGTTTAAAAGATCAGTACTAATAATGCATTCTTCTAGCAAAAAGGTAGAAATACAGTGTTCCCTCACTTAGCGCGGGTGTTATGTTCCAGGACCAACCGCGAAAAGTGAAAATCTGTGAAGTAGGGATGATATATATGTATATCACATTCCAAGGGTGAGACAGAAGCAAGGAGAGATTTAAGGGCACCACACAGGTTTTTTTGCTAGCTATCTCTGCTTTGCAATTTCTCTTGATTGGCTGCCTCTCTCCCGAGGGGGAGGGTGGAACCCCCTTCCACACTCCATTGTTGCCAGGAGGCGGGATTAGAACATTGCCATGGGCAACGGAGGGAAGAACCGCATCAATAAAAGATTAAATTAAACCACTTTACACAATTACACTGAAGTCTGAAATCCACATTTGTATGAAATCTTTATTAAGAGAACGAAAAGGGCACAGACATGCAAATAAGCTTTCAAAACTTCTAGATTTTTTTCATTCTCAGGGAATATACTGCAAAAATGTAAGGCACTGACATATCCTAATTGACTGCACCATTAGGGACTTGAAATAACCTTACCGAATATGAGGTTTTATATTATAACACTGAGGTGACTGTGAGGTCAAAGAGACAGGATGGGATGAAGGTATCTTGTACTCATCTTCTTCTACATTTTCCCTTGGTTTTTCAGGAAGGGAATTAATAAGAGGAACAGATGACCTCAAGAGAAAAAAAATATCAAATCCAGGTAAGTCTTTTTTTTTTAACTTTTACAACAAGACTACAACGTAAGGTAGGATGACAGATAATGTGCTCCTCCTCTTATAAAAGGACTAGAAGGAAATCAGAAATGGTTGATTGGTGAAATCTGGCATTAACAAACAAACCCAAAACTGTGGTTTACCTTTAACAACCTTCATAAATTCAGATACGAAGCAGAGTTGTCTGATACTAGCAAGAGTTGAGATTAACCACACTTTTCATTATGGCAAACTATGGACAAGTGTGATTAGTCAAGAGCAGAAACCAAATTTCGAAACTCTTTGAAGCTATATAGGATGAGGAAAGGGAAGGAAGAACACATAGACTTAGGACAGGGAATGCAGGAATTAAGCTAATCTACATTTTACTAAATCGTAACTTAGTCTGGGGTTAAATGACAAGTACAAAATGACTCAGCAGGCCTTCAGGCCACATGGGGCTATGAACCTAGACTCACTTAATTCAAGTACAGAAACCATAATGATGCTTTCCACAGATCCGACACACCTTACAACAACAATACACAGTTAAACATTTTTAAATGTCAACTTTTCATCATTTGTCTGATAAATACAGTTGGCCTTCCATATCCGTGGATTTTGCATTCACTTATTCAACTATTCACAGTGTGAACACATTAAAATACAACAACCAAAGAAACAACCAGGCAAAACTTCCCAATGGCAAACCTTGATTTTGCTATTTTATATAAGAACACTATTTTACTTCTCTGATAAATGCATAAAATAAGACTTCTTGTGCTTCCATTATATATTATTACACTTGTGAGACCATCAGACACTCAATTTTAACAGCATTAATTTTCTATTCAGAAGATGTCTTATAGAAGAGACACAAAACAAGAATTTAAATCACTCTTCATTCTTCAAAAGAATCAGAAGGTAACAATGAAAATGCATCAATATCAAAACACAGAGAAATTGCACTCAAGGAATTTGAAGTAAACATATTATGTTCATGAGTATTAGTAAGTTTTATCCTCAAAATGACTGTTTTACTGAAATAACCCATAATGAACGTTAGAAGGTATTTATTATTGCCATGACAAAACACTTCAAAGTACCATGAAGACAGTGTCATAAGCCAAAACAAGGAAAATAATTGCACCCCAAAATCTAGTTGTGAAAGAATGTCATAACTACTTCTACAAAGATTCAACTTTAACTAAAATACAGATATTTTAAGAAGATTAGATGAAACTACAGACTTCAAAGACACTGGTTAAAGAGGAAGAGTGTGTATCACATTAAAGGGCAAAGTGGGATCTGTCCACTTCCACTTTTATTACCTTTGAGGGCAAACTATGTTACAGTCAAATGTGTGTAAGAAAGCCCCCTAAAATTACAAGTTTTGAGTTTCAACTGTTTCTACACTCAAGAGCATGCTCAAAAATTAACCAATGCCACATGCGATGACTACAAGGTGCCTCCGGTGAATTTTCAATTTTATTTGTCAGTCTGTTTTCAATCGATTGTGGACAGTGGTATCATACATTCATTTTAGATATTATACTAAAGTTACCAGCTTGTAAAAAAGTGGAGGACAATTCAACATAAATTATGTAATATTTTAGATTCACAAGACCCTATATGTAATTAATGTATCTAGCTTGGACAGTTTAAAAACAGAGAAGCAGAAAGCACATTTCATTGACAGTGATTGGACATATATCCCCAATGAAAGGTGGAATCAATGAATGTGAATTTATGCAATGCAATATTTAACCACCTTCTGCAGAGGGAGCCAAAGGATATCATATATTTAAAACATGAAATAGACAAGATATGTGTGCATTCTGTCTGTACCCCAAATATTTTTAAAGTATTTTTTACACACACTCAGCACATAAAAATGAGTCAATAAAACATTCAAGTCTAAAAGTGTTGGCAAGATTTTTAATTTAATGGTATTTTCAATAGTTGGGGAGACTGGAGAAAATGCTCAAAAATACTTGTTTCCCTCTATTACTCCTGTATACAGTGATTTTTTTTCCCAGAGGGAAAACAGGAGAGCATGGGAAAACTCAGATAAAATTATTCACTTGTACAAAATGCAGGAATTTCATAGTATGTACATGGGTGTGTAATCTTTTTAGCCGTCGTAAGTCATATCAAATTCATTAAATTCGTACTTACAAGGCAATATATGACACGTGAGTGTGGCCCATGCCAAAATCGTAAGAATCGAAAATTACTCAATACTTTTTTGTTTGTATTTTGTAAATTTTGGACGCCTCCCAAAGTCAATTTATTTTCAGCGCAAGGAGGTAAAGTAAAGCCAAAAAGGATGGCCTCTCACGATTAGGAGAGGGAAAGCAGGCAGCAGAGTTTGCTGGGGGGAGGGGGGGGGACGGACTGAGAAAGCACAGAACTTTGGGAAATTTAGTTTGGGAAGGTGAGGAGCCCTATGCCAGATAATTTAAAAGGCCCTACCCTAAACTACATTTCCCAGAATTCTGCTCACATTAGAAAGCCCCAATCAGGATAGAGAAGAGATTTGTCCCTCCATAGCACCAGCCAGACAGAGTTCCAATAAACTGCTGAATTTGCAAAGAAGAGGACAGACTGATACTTCAAGTAAGTAAATCTCTGTGCTGGGTTGGGAAGAAATCCCTAAGTGGAGAGCCTGTGGGGATTCCTTCTGTAAAAGAAGACGAACAAATAACAAATATATAAAACCAGGGCGATGAAGAGACTAAGATAGTGGTGGTGTGTGTTGCTGAGGCTTGACTTTTAAAATGTTTTTACCTGAGGTACTTTAGAAAGGAGTAACTCATTACCCAAACCAGAATCCTTTTTACCAATATCCTCAGCCACCTCCTTCTGAGGTAAATTTGCTCCTCAATAATTAGACACACACAAGTCTTTAATAATAGTGAACTGAATAAGAAAAAGGTTTATTTTCAAGAACTCTCAGGCAGTACAATTCTTGCTGGTTACTTCATATATTTATCGAGGTTACAATAACCCTAATATCAAGAAATGTTGTAACAGTTTCCATATAACTTTCAAGCTGGCTTATTTTCCTGTTAAGCTTTCTTTAATAACTTGCTGATACCTTAAAAATGTTACTCTTTTCTCAGTCTTTCAACTGGGTCAATATAATATTGTGGTTTCTTCACCTAAGCGTTAGGTTAAGTGTAAATTTGACTCCCAAAATACACTTTACTCTCAGTCTCACTGATTAACACTTAGGTACCATTTTGCCCTTCATATACTTCGGTTCTCTCACTGAAAGTATAGACTACCTTTGGGAATTCATTTCCCTTAACTCATAAGTTATTTTCTAATTCTAATAGGTCCACTTGACCCTTTAAACTAAGCAGGCTGAAGGCTAAACACTTGGCTCGGCTTCCACTAACCGGACTGAAGTGGTAAAATGTCTGCCCCTGCCAGTTGGCAGTTAGCTCCACCCACTTTGGCTCATCTTGGATACATTCCTATTACAGGCTCCGTCACTATGGCAACGCATCAGCTAAGCAGCCACATTAAATGTTGGCCTGCACTTATCATATCACAACATTAATAAACATATTTAAATCATACATTATAATTAGATATTTCATTACACCTTCCAACTCAATAGGGAAATCATATTAATTAGTTTAGAAGTTGGGTGGCCATCTGTTAGAGTTTTGATGGTGCCCTTCTGCCTGGAAGAATGGAGTTGGACTAGATGGCCCTTGGGGGTCGCCCCCAACTCTAGGATTCTATGAAAATGTAAAATTGATTAATACTGGTTTTTATAGGTTAATATGAGAGATATTCAATGAAATAGCTGTTGTGGCTTTAAAAATGTTTTTGTCAAATCTTTAAAAAAATCCTAAAATCAGTAGGAATGAATATTTCTGAAAGTTGGGGGGAATTATACCCTATCTTGTATCATTGTATGTACATTGTATGTACACGTCTAGTATGTACATATATATGTAAGTCTGAGAAGAGTCATAGAGAAATAAAATGAATTTTCCATATTGTAGACATAAACAAAACAGAGACTGAAGATGCATTTCTGTACATAGAAATGCATTTCTGCACATATGAGAAGAACTAAGAGGGTTTGTTGGTTTTCATGATGATAACAGACTTTCTAAGGGTTCCTTTTCTATCCAATGCTAAATTAAAAGCTCTCTTCAGTACAGAGCGTATCTGTAATTTTGCTTGCACAATACTAAGGCTTTCATATTTTTGAATTTCAAAACCACTTTATATTTGAAATATAAATAAGTATTCGACAGATTTCAGTTTTTCGCAGAAAATCTATTTTTCTCACAAATTCATATCTATTTTTTAAAAAACCAACATTATTCTGTTATATTTTTTTCTTTTTACTACAGGGCACTTACTAGATCCTAACTACCAAAATGTACAAAAATGGGAGGACATGTGTCTGGTTATTTTTTTCCCCAGTCACCTCATTCCTTTCACACAATTGAATGGTGGGTTTTCAGAAAGAGTTAACATAGGGTAGCCACTCCAGGGTAAGAAAAAGTAATCTGCGGCCTACCCCACCTAGTTTACATATAATACACTAACCAACTATTAGTCCCAACAAGGCTAGAGCCACTGGATCAGTGCTAAATCAACACTATTCCATTGAATCAGTGGGTCTCCTATTGTTGCAACTAACTATTGGATTTAACCCAATAGTTTATTTTTCTCTAACAATACTGACTGCTGCGTCTGAACGGATTAAATTTGAGCTTTAAATCTCATTTGCCAATTTTATGTGTGAAGTACACTAAGTTCAGTGTACTATTTTTTACTTGCTAGATATGCACAGGGCTTCTGGTCTTTGGGTTCCACTCATACTCAGTGATGCACTGAGTAAACCTCTATGGCAGGGGTTCTCAAACTTTTTAAACAGAGGGCCAGGTCACAGTCCCTCAAACTATTGGAGGGCCGGATTATAATTTGAAAAAAACATGAATGAATTCCTATGCACACTGCACATATCTTATGTGTAGTCCAAAAAATAAATAAAATAAAAACAATACAATAATTAAAATGAAGAACAATCGTAACAAATATAAATTTATTAGTATTTTAATGGGAAGTGTGGGCCTGCTTTTGGCTGATGAGATAGCGTTGTTGTTGTGTGCTCTTGAGTTGTTACAGACTTAGGTTGACCCTGAGCGAGAGCCGGGTAAATGACCTTGGAGGGCCGCATCCGGCACCCGGGCCTTAGTTTGAGGACCCCTGCTCTATGGCATATGAACTACGACCAACTCTAGTCTCTCTGATTCAGTAGATTGATTTTGAGACATATCTAAATGTCAGAACCCCAAGCAAGCTGAATATCCCTTATCTGAAATGATCAGGACTAGAAATGTTTTGAATTTTGGATTTTTTTCTAGATTTTAGAATACTGGCATATATGTAATACAATCTTTTATAGAAGAGTCACAAATCTAAACACAAAATTCATAGATGTTTCATATAGAGCTTACACGTGTAGCCTGAAGCAAATTTTATACACAGTATTTTTAATAAATGTATGCACAATACAAAGTTTGTGTACACTGAACCATCAGAAAATAGTAACTGTCACTATCTCAAAATGTGGACAATTTTGGATTTTTAAAGTTTACAATGAGTAATAATAATTTAAATTCCAAATTTATTCTTCAGCACTTTACACACCAGCATTAGTGCAGATGTAATTATCACACCTTTTGAGTATACAAAATTCACCTCAATTTCTGTGTATGTTTACTTAGAGATAAGCCACAGTGCAACAACTTATCAGGCCGCAAACTAGACCTCAGTGTCAATAACTTCTAAAGCTCCGATTATTCTGTGTGTATGTGCCTGGAAGCTGTCTGTTTTATGAAATATAGCCTGCATTACCTACAATATTTGATATTCATTGCTTATTTCCATCGAAGAACTAACCAGAGCTTAGCTCCCAAATGATCTTGTGCCTTTAGGACATTCATTACCAACAAGAAATAACTAAAAATGGGGAACAGGCTAGAGTTCCTCATCCCTACTATAGTGATTCTTATTTCATATATATCCCACTTTATCCATATAAATAATTCATAACTATAAAAAGAGCATCATATTGGTTATTTTTTCAACTACAATAGACATCTCAACAATTCTTATTCTCTGTGTTATTTAACTCTGTTCATGGATTTTAGACAATGAGAATTTTTAACAAGGTGAAGTAAGAGTATCAACTGCATTATGCATTAAACTGCTCTTTTATTCTGTTATTTCAAACATTCATCATTTCCCTCAATTCAATTCAGAATAAAAATAAGTGTGGAAAATGAAAAATTGAGCCTGTGTTATATAAATATTTTACAAAACAAATTAACAGAATCAATGCTTAGCAGACTCAGATTGTATATTTGCACGAACAATATTATCCCAAAAGCTCAAGGGAGTTGCTTGTTTTATAGTCTTAGTATCTCAATGGGTCAAGCTCCATATGTCTACTAGGAATAAACCCACCCTCAGTTTTTTTTTCTTCGTGTCAGGAGCAAGTTGCTCCTGGTGTGAGAGAATTGGCCGTCTGCAAGGACATTGCCCAGGGGACGCCCGGATGATTTGGTGTTTTTATCATCCTTGTGGGAGGCTTCTCTCATGTCCCCGCATGAGGAGCTGGAGCTGATAGAGGGAGCTCATCCGCCTCTCCCCGGATTCGAACCTGTGACCTGTCGGTCTTCAGTCCTGCCAGCACAGGGATTTAACCCACTGCGCTCTCTAAAAACACTTGTTTTGTCTTGCTAAAAGGTTTCTTTAATCTTGACTACCCAATATTATTTTGCTTCATTATTTTTAACTGTTAGTCAAGTTTACAGAACAGCATTAAAAATAGAACAAGAAATTAAGGCTTTGAAAATTCATTCTGGAAATCATAGAAGCAAGGAGCATTGTAAGCCCCAACCTGGTCTGGTCAATTCTGGAGAATTCTTTGGGCATGACTAAGCTGCAACCTAATCAGGAGCGCTTTATATGTTCTCCACAATTTCTTCCATCCACCCATTCTTAAAAATGTGTACACTACTCTTCCATCTCAGAAGTTTTCAGGACAGTAAACCAAAAGGTCTCACAGGTATTAAGCAGTGAAAATATCAATATATCTAGCCCTTTATTATTCATCTAAAATATTCCACTCTGTCTAAATTCTGAATAAATACAGTATTATATTTGACATTCTCCAAAACTTCTGAAACACTTAAAACAAGATAGGCTTCTAGAAACCTAGAAGCTTATCTGTACAAAAAGATTATAATTATAATAAACAGAAAATGTTGTTGGATACTTTGGCTCAATGTCCAGTGCCTTTATTAAACAGACATTAGGGAGCACTCCATATTTTAACACAAACTATTTATTGTAATCACAATCTAAAAAAAAATCTGGGTAGTTTATATCCTCCCTACCAATAACCTATGAATATATGTCCCTGCACACACTCACATTTAGTCATTGCTGTGACTGATTGACAACAAATATTTACAGGTTTGCTAATTATACAATAAAAATATATTTTATTTTATATAGCTGTGTCTTCAAAATCTTTTTTTTCATTTTAGCAGTAGCTGAAGATTTCAAACTCAAAAATTATATGTAAGAAAAAATGATAGCAAAATGAGAATAAATTTAAAATTTCTAGATGTCAGCTAACAGCCTCTGCTAGACTTAAAAAGTAGCTAACTCCATAGAAACAGGAAAATGTCAAATACAATGGGGAGACATGATTAATTACAAGTATCTTCAAACTCAGTACATTTACATTCATGTTATATTACATGGGAGGGAGGGAAAGAGAGAAGGAGAGAAAGGGGAGGAGGTCAAATGCAGAATATATGAGAGAGAAGGGCGGAATTAAAAGCATTTGTCAGAGTCAAAGAGATTGCAGTAGTTAAGACATATAAATTAGTTAGGAATATGAGTGATTTGAGTCATTCCAATTCCTTCATGGTCATGTCATACGACAAACGCAAGGTAGATGACAAAAGCCAGGAGTAGCATAATGATGGAGTCTCGTGGGGTGGTGTTTCTTTTAAGGCTAGGCTCTTGCCTTTCACCACTCTACTCAAAGAATAGGATGGTTCCTTTTGGAAACGGTTATGGTACAGTACAGGCAATCCCTGAGTTACAAAATCCAACTTACAAATAATTCATAGTTAAGAACAGAGGTGAGACACTAGGAAGTGAAAGAAATCTACCCCTAAGAAGGAAAATTCACTCCTGGAAGAGCTATCACTGGGAAAAGGTATCTCAACTGAAGCTTTATCCTTGTTTCCAGAACAAGCCAAATTTTTCAATTATCACAGGGACAGAAAGTGAGGTGAAATTTTCTGAAGAGTGGCACAGACAGCAAAACAACTACCATACCACAGAGGTATTAACTCTTCCCTATGCTATCCAAAGCATGCATACATGCATGCGCGCGCGCACACACACACACACACATAGAGAGAGGGGGGCTGGAGTTACACTTAAAAAATTTAATTGTTGTGACTTACATATACATTCAACTTAAGGACAAACCTACAAAGATTATCTTGTTCGTAATGTGGGGACTGCCTGCATCACACTGACTTGTGGCTAAGTTGACTCAGATTCTTTAAGTTAAGTTGATTTTTTGATCAAAACCTTTAGACATATATTAGTATACCGGATAAGACACACACTTAGTGCATTTTAAAGTCATTTCAAAACATTGCAGCGTTGTCTCTTTTAAAAGAGAATAACTAGAATTGATTTAGCTAATCCATTTTCCCCACTATGTAGTTTATATTATTGATTTAAAAATTAAACTCACTTCATATTCAGCATGACTGATGCAACTGGAGGAGGGGATGCAAGTCGGGGCGGGACATCATATTCCTCATTAGTTAGATGGCCGTTTGAAAATAGCTGCAAGAGATGGATTTCTTAGTGTTATAACCACCGAACAACATATAAAATGCATGATTTTCTAAACCCCTTGAAATCTTTCCCACTAAAACTACCAAATATTTACTTAGCATAAGTTTATAAGTCAATAAAAACCTAATGCAGTTCAACTTTTAATCCTCAAACACTTTATATAGAGACGCAATAGTAAGGGTATCTGAACATTATCTTTACAGTCTCCATGCTATATGTAGCTGAAACTATAAATATACTGTCTGTAAAGACAATATTTATTCCGACATATTGTTTTGTATTCTAAACCCATTTAAAAGAACCATAGAAATATATGGAGAACCACAAAACTGATAAAACCAAAACTACCATATTTCACCAAATCTAAGACACCATTAAATGCATGGTACCCATGATTTCCAAGCTCTAATTTTAAGAAAAAAGATTTTTCTTGGAATATCTTTTAGAATTTTCTCTGTAGACACAATACTTTTTGTTTGTTTGCTTCAATGCAGTTTTGTAGTGCGATCCTTCCTGTAGTGTGAAGAGGGAATAATAATAATAATAATAATAATAATAATAATAACAACAACAAGTCATTAGAACAAACGTCATCAAAGCCAGAATTGAAAAGTCGACAACAGATCCCAAATGTAGATCTCCAATAACAAGTCCCAGAAGCACTTTAGTAGAACTAAGATTGCTGCACACTGCACACTGCACTTACCCTATAATCCTTACATACCTCCTGTCACATCAGCACTTTTAATCTTGTACCCATTACTCTGGCCCGGCCCAGTTTTATAGTGTCTTGATGTATTGTTTATTGCTTGTTGTTAATATTGTTTTAACTCAGTTCTTGTGGTTTTTTCGGGCTATATGGCCATGTTCTAGAGGCATTTCTCCTGACGTTTCGCCTGCATCTATGGCAAGCATCCTCAGAGGTGAGGTCTGCTTGCCATAGATGGTGAGGATGCTTGCCAGAGGTGAGGATGCTTGCCATAGATGCAGGCGAAACGTCAGGAGAAATGCCTCTAGAACATGGCCATATAGCCCGAAAAAACCCACAAGAACTGAGTGATTCCAGCCATGAAAGCCTTCGACAATACATTGTTTTAACTGTTTTTAATTTGCTTTAGGTGTTGTATTGTTGTGTTGTGTTTTGAGGCCTTGGCCTATATAAGCCATATCGAGTCCTCTGGGAGATGCTAGCAGGGTACAAATAAAGTTAATAATAATAATAATAATAATAGACTCTGCAAGGACGCAGATGAAACAATAGATCACACCGTGAGCTGCTGCAAGAAGATCGCGCAGACAGACTACAAGCAGAGGCATAACACCATTGCTCAGATGGTTCATTGGAACCTGTGCCACAAATACCATCTGCCTGCAACAAAGAACTGGTGGGATCACAAGCTGGAAAGAGTTACAGAGAATAAACACGCCAAATTCCTGTGGGACTTCCGGATTCAGACAGACAGAGTTTTGGAGCATAATGCTCCTGACCTCACAATCGTGTTAAAAACAAAGTATAGATCGTTGATGTCGCAATCCCAGGTGACAGCAGGATTGCAGACAAACAACTGGAAAAGCTGACACTATATGAGGATTTAAAGATCGAACTGCAAAGACTCTGGCACAAGCCAGTAAAGGTGGTTCCAGTGGTGATCGGCACACTGGGTGCAGTGCCTAAAGATCTTGGCCTGCACTTAAACACAATTGGCGCTGACAAAATTACCATCTCCCAGCTGCAGAAGGCCACCTTACTGGGATCTGCACGCATTATTTGTGGATCACACAGTCCTAGACACTTGGGAAGTGTCCGAAGTGTGATCCAATTCAACAGCCAGCAGAGTGTCTGCTGTGGACTCATCTTGTTGTGTTTCTAATAATAATAATAATAATAATAATAATAATAATAATAATAATAATAATAAGTTTATTCTTGTATCCTGCCTCCATCTCCCCAAAGGGACTCAGGTCGGCTTACACACAGCACAAGGTGCAAAAAAAAAAAAAGGAACATAAAATAAAACACAATATAAAATACAATTGAATAAAACAAATAAGCATAAAAACAAGCAACTTAAGATTCAAATTAAAACAGCACTAATCAAGTCAACTATTTGCATGAGTGTTTTATTACATATATGGGTCCTTTGGGGAAACAGCAGAAGTCACACTGTGTTGGGGGGGGGGGACCATCCGGCTGAAGCCAAAATGTTGGGAGCACAGCAAGCCACTAGGGCTTGGGCCCTTCCTCTTATCTCTCGGAGGCATAACAGTTTTGCAAGAGAAAAACATTACAAAAGTGAGGCTCATCCTCAAATATTAGGCACATCTTGTTTTTGAAGCCCCTTAAATGGGAAAAAGTGTGCCTTAGATTCAATGGAATATGTTAATAGAAACCGCAAGATTGTCTAAGAATGAGAAGTTGATACAGGGGATTATTATGCGAGAAAGGCTGGAGAATCTACAGCATTTTTAAAGAATTTAATAAGTCTAGAGAGATTCTCCTTTTGCAAGATTTCTGACTGCATAATCTTAAAAGTAGCAGTACTCTAAAAAAGAAAATGCAATGATCTGTATATTAATTCCAGAATTTTAATTATTAAGTGTCAAAGGGAAAGGAGATAACTAAGAAAGAAGCACTTGACCCAGCTGGAAACTGTTAAATATAATTAAGCATCATGTATTGCACTATAGGTTCTTACCTTGGCATTTTCAAGAGCCAAATCATGACGTCTATGCTTTCTCAGAAATATTGGATCAGAACCCATTCGACAATGCCTTCCATTCATATTTGAACTTGCAGTGAGTCCAAGTTTGGGAGAACCATCACTCCCAGCTATTCGACATCCCACTATTTGATTAGTCCCACAAACTTCTCTGGGACACCAGGCTTCAAGTGGCATAGGCTGGTCTCTGCAAGGCACACTTTCAGGGTGATGCAAGTGTCTATTTAACCGGTTATCTGGTGGAATGGGAGGAGGCCTTTCTGGTGGAGGTGGAGGAGGATCCCGTATGGGTGGTGGTGGTGCAGGAAGAGGCTTATCTTGTTTCCTCATCATACATGGAGAAGACTAGGTATTCAACATAAAGTAACACAGTTTAAGTACATCATGACACATACATGTACATTATATTAGAGCTTCTGGAGAACATTTCTCGACTTGCTATTTTCTCAATTGGTTATTTAAAATGAGTTAAATAATGACTGGATGATGAAAAGCAAAAGATCTTGATCACAAGTTCATGGCAAATGCACTTGTGCTATTTAGTTGAAAAAAAAACTACATTCAAAACTCACACATCAAACTACTCACATTTTAACATTCAGCATCTCCATCAAACTTCACCAATATTGTAAAACAAATGTAATGTGGGATATACAGAATTTGACATCAAGTTCTATGAGAGTCTGTAGTATATGATTTTCTAGTATATTGCACTGCGTTCATCATCTCAATTAAATGCCAGACCTCACCAGCAATTGCAACCTTTCAGTGCCAGTTTAAATGACAAAGTTAATTAAAATTATGATAGCAATGAGGAAACATTTTATGTACTTTAGTTGTTTAAGTATTATGCAGCTAGAATTAAAATTAATTTGTAAATAGAACTGTCAAGTCTGCAGGCAAAACACTGATAAAAGGAAAATGTGTGTTATCACCGGGCATTCACACACATGCAGGAACATATGCAACCACACTTAATTGGGTTTTCAAAGTATCCTGTCAACATTCAATTAAAAATCTATTTTAATACAACCCAAACAGAAGCCCTGCATTAAAACCTACATACTTGACTAAACTATTTTATATCGGGTACTTTTTCTAACATGATACAGAAATATTGATGAAATTAAACTTTCTGTTCTTAAAGTTTAACCCTTTGCAGTAAACACGCATTGGTCTGACAGTTTTTCCTCTAAGGGAGAGTGTCCAAACTTTTAAAACCAAGGGCCAGTTCACGGTTCCCTCAGCCTGTTTGCGGGGGGTGGGGGTGAGTGGTGGTGGTGGCTATAGTTTGAAAAACATACTGCATATGTCTTATTTGTAGTGCAAAAAAACCCCATGAAAGAACAATACAATATATGAAGTGAATAACATGTGTAACCAACGTAAAAGTACCTATCTTTCAATGGAAAGTGTGGGCCTGCTTTTGGCTGATGAGAGTCAAGATAATTAAGACTGTTGTTGTTATGTGTCTTCAAGTCATTTCGGACAGTAGTATATGCTGCCTGAGTCTGGTAGAGTACTCTTTCTATGGAGGTTTTTCAGAAGAGGTGGAATGGCCATCTATTGGGAGGGCTTTGATTATGGAGGGGGGGGGGGGGGGGGTTAGCTGCCACCTGGTGCTCCCCTTTACTTCCCAAGGGAGGAAATGAGGAGGATGAAGGCGGGGCAGAGAAGAAAGGGAGGGAGGAAAGCCAGTTTCACTATCTTAGCCATATGGACAATTTTAGATTTTGAAGCATTTCAGTTGTCCAGGAACTCAATCTGTAGATTATGATGAAACCAGAGGGATTGTCAATCTGGTCCTCTTTGTCCTGATCACACATTTGACTTCCATTGCAGACTTGCTCCTAAGGATAGTTTGCCAGCAGGGCTAGTTTATAAATGAGAACTTTACTCATGGATATCACACATCTGAATATTTTGGGTTTCACCTGAGAATGGTGTGTTAAAAATGTAAATTGGACATACCTTTGGTGAACTAGCAGGGCTGGCACAAGGAGATCGAGCAACTCCCTTCTGAATTAGATCTAGTCGAGGAGGCACTGGTGGAAGGCTAAGATGGGGCCCTTGTAGGGGATCAGGAAGTGGTTTTCTTCTTTGAGATAGTGGAGAAGATCCAGGGGATGTCACAGGTGAATTCTGCCTTTCATTACACTGCAACGGAAAGCACTCATAAAGCCTATAACACATATAACTTGCATTGATTAAAGAGAATCTAGGTTAGTAAGTTCTTTCAGTGACATTAGCCATTTACTATGGAAAGAGTTCTGAGTTTACATTTTTTTTTCAAAATTTTGTTTCTCTTACACTCAATATTCTTAGATGTCACTCCAAGTGAAACCTAAAACATAACAGCACCTGCTTCAACATTCTTTGAATGTCTCCAGACTCCTCCACATCATAGTAATCAAAAAGCATGTAGAGAAACTTGATTTTAACATCACTAGGGATGTTTTTCTCATTTTTTCCTCCATTCTGTTTTTCATAATATTTTGCCTAATGAGCTATGTGAAAATTAACTAACATTAACTAAGAATGCAGATACTTCTAGATGAAGTTCATATAGTTCAGAAAGCATGCAAACTATACATTTGAGTTTTCAAATTTTATATGCAAAACTTGTATTATTCTTAGCGCTTCCTAGTTTACTATATCAGTAAATGTTCCTTCTTCTGAATAATAAATCCTGAATCTATGATTTATACTGTGACCACCACTATATGATTTGAAACAAGCTACCTCTCTAGTTGGTTTTGAGCTTTTCAAAATAAGCCTTTAGCTACTATACTGTTTTATAGTGAGGCCGACTTGTTCACTAGAAAATAATAATTAGGATTATTACACCAAAGTTCAGTTTCTATTCAAATGACTGAAAGAGGTTTGCTGTTTCAGCTACATACTACACCTCTAACACATATAAAAAGCACATGGGGACAAGTGAAAAACAAACAAAACAAGCCACAATGATTTTGGCTGTCTCAACTCAGGCTCTTAATTAGGTGATGAACAAAGAAGTATTTCATACAAGTATTTCACAAAGACTTAGGACTGAATTTAGGTCAGAAATACATGAAGAAATAGATTAACATAATAATTAACATCCAACTACTACAGTGTCCAAAGGTCAGAGCGATCAGTAAACATAACTGCCAAAAAACAGTGGCATTTAAGGTGATGCCAGATCAACAGAAGTGTATTTGTAGTCATTAAATCTAGTTCATATCCTATCCTGTAAGGCTTACTTGAAAAATGTTGGATTCAAATCTTTAAAAATGCAAAAAAAGTTTGCATGTTGCACATGTGACAATTATTCAAGATAGGTCAATCTCTCATTTGTGAGTGAATATGCTGAAAATCTGCATATTTTCAATGCAAAATGTGTCTTTCCCTTAAGTCAAACACTTTGGCTCAGAGCTCCATGTATTTTTTGATTATTTTTTTTTTTGCTAACTTGTTTAAGAATATTAATAGACTAATGCAAAATGTTCTGAAAGATGATGTTATTTTTATTTTTCAAGAGTCTTAACACAACCTTTGTATAGGAATTGATCATTTAGGCAATACTGGAATTTCTTTTTAAAAACTTTTCATAGCTCACAACTGCCCAGCAACCCCACAAAAAAACCCTTATCGATTGCAAATGGCATCTTAGCCCATAGGTTGGGAACCACTGCCCTATACAATACGTAAATTATAGAAGCTAATGGCAAGAAATATGGTAACTAGCTCTAAAAGCCTTTGGAAAAATCCTTCCAAAAATCAACAGTGAAATGAAATCCTAGTATTTATGTATTTATTTACTTTATTTCTACCCTGTTCTTCTCACCCTGAGGGGGACTCAGAGAGGCTTACAGATTTTGGCAAATATTCAATGCTACCATTATACAAAAACAATACAACAATAAAATCAATAAACATATAAATTACAATTAAAACTAGGTTAAAAACTGGTAAAAATGAAGGAGAAAAGCACAAAGCTTCCTATTGGCATTAAGTGGAAGGATAAAGTGGAAAACTATCACTTTTCAAATATCTGGTTGGTGCTTATAAACAGACAGCTCAATTAAATAGATAGTTGATTTGTCAGGATTCTTATATTTCTTAAAATAATGGGTCAAAATTATTTCACATAATAAAAACTTTGCCTATGTTTTATTTAACAATGAAGAAATATGCTGCTTACCTGTTAATGAATATCATGATTGATTAACATAGCCTATATTTAACAGTATTTAAGTCCCTGTAAGGGACTCAACTAATTCTTACAAATGACTTCATTTTAGCTTTTCTATGCCAGTAAGAGTGAAATATGTTACATGTTTCAACAGAAATATATACCTTTCGCACAGATGCCAATCGATTCATCATTAAACATTCTTCTCTATCATCATCATCATCCAAATCAAGCATGGGGATACCAAAACTATCCATGATGCTGCAGCACCGTATGTTCTCATCCCTGGGATCAAAGGGATCTACAATAATGGGTTCCGTCCCTTTGATTTCACAGCGACAGAAAGGACATCCTTGGCCATCAGACTCCTATATGGGAAAAAATCATTTTAAATTACCGAACACAATTTTATCTCTGTGTATTTGGATTCCTAAACTCTCTAAGGGAAATATTTTAACCTTGTACCAAACAATTCTTTAAAATCCTATAAAATTAAAACAGAAACTATAATAAAACCAATTTGAATAAAGTTATTATTTAATTATGGGTTGCCTCTGTTATTTCTGATTTTTTATGGCCCTGTGAATAGTGGGAATATTTTCTATTGGACAGAATTCCATGAAAACAGAGCAAGAGCTTTGCATATCCACAGATCTCCACAAATTAGTCTAAGCAACTTGAGTCGTAATATCTAATGGCTTTCAAAGGGTAATATTCCTGTATTTTGCTAATGTACATTACGATACAAAATGTTTATGCCTTTTTATTTACAGTATATTCTGGCGTATAAGACTACTTTTTAGCCCAAGAAAATCTTTTCAAAAGTCAGGGGTCATCTTATACGCAGGTGTAGTCTTATGCATGGGAGTTGTCTTAACTCTATATTTTAACTGGGAAAGTTGGGGGTCATCTTATACGCCCAGTCGTCTTATATGCCGGAATATACGGTAATACAACTGAGAAAATCTAAAAAGTGACAAAAATGTTTTAAGAGGAGCCAACTAAAGAATATACAATAACACTAAGGTGTGAATCCCGCTATGAATAAATCTTGCTAAGAAAACCCCATGACAGAGTTACCGTAAGTAAAAAAAAAAAAAAAAAGCTTCACAGTACACATCAATAACAACAACTTTATTAACCCTATCTCAAACAACTATGGTTTTCCACTTGCTTGGCTCAGGCTCATTTTTTCTCACTTGCTTCCCTCTACTCTTGAAATTGCTTCCTTGAACATGTGTGGTCTTGCTCCTTCTCTTGCTGCTTTCAAATCTCAATTGAAAACATTTTTGTTTTCCAGGGCTTTTGGAATTTGTTTAATATTGTTTTGTAGTCTTGTATATTCAGATTACATGGATTAATCTGTTTGCTTTGTAGCATATTGCTTCTTTGTTTTTGTATTTTATCTGGATGGCTTGGTTTGAACGTTGATTCTACAGTTTTGTATTTTGGTTTTTTTCCCCCCTCTGTGTGCATATATGATATAACATATATTTTAGATTGTATCCATTGGTTTGGGTTGTTTACTGTAAAGCAGGGGTTTTCAAACGTTTTCAGCCATGGAGCACTTTTTGAAGCAAAAGTTTCTTGTGGAGCTCCAATAAATGTTTATATATTGCATAATATATAATATATAATGTATATATATCAGGCATGGGCAAACTTTTGGACACAAAGGCCACATTGCATTTTAAAGTTTGACTGATGGGCTGGGTCAATGGCAGATGGGTGGATGAAGTTTGTGTGAACTGGAAAAAAAATGAACAAATTGCTATGCACACTACAGATATTTCGCTTGTAGTACAATCCCCCCCCCCACCCCCGAAAAAAAAACCAGAAGGAGGAGGAGGAACAATATATTTAAAATGAAGAACAATTTAAACCAAGATAAACCTAACAGTATGTGGAAGATCCCAGAGACCATCCAGTCCAACCCCCTTCAGTGGAAGATCCCAGAGACCATCCAATCCAACCCCCTTCTGTCATGCAGGAAAAGCACAAATCATATCATCCCCAATAGATGGCCAACTAGCCTTTGTAATAATAGTAACAACTACTATAACAACAACACCAAGATAAAACATGGCCTTTTTCTAAAGACTTTGGGGCAGGCATCCTCAAACTGCGTGTTTGAGCCTCCAACTCCCAGAAGCCCTAACAGGCTTGTTCAATTGTCAGGAATTCTGGGAGTTGAAGGCCCAAACACCTGGAGGGCCTCAGTTTGAGGATGCCTGCTTTGGGGCCTAGTTGATTTCATCCAAATCTGCACATGTATATAGTTTCAAATTGCCTTATAACTTAATATGGATTTAGTTTGCTTTACTTATTTTTATTGTCCTAAATTGTTTTAAAAGTGTTAAATGGATGTTGTATGCTGCAGTGAGATTTCATGACACTGGCCAAGACATAAAGATTCTAATAAACAACAATGCATATATGCTAATTAAATACACTCTAAACCCCCTTAAGGAGGATTTTCAGGATTTTCTTCTGGCTTCAGTAGCTAACCAAAATATATGGCCCTTCACCAAGTCTATAGGGACCTCATTTACAAGGGTGAAGGCCTTCCTGAGGTACTGAGTTTTATGCTCAAAGGGAATGCTTCTGAAGCAAAACACAAAACCCCAGAGAAGACCCAACCTAGTTTTTATTTTGTGGTGAGGGCAGACACAGGCCAGATCAAGAGATATGGTTGCTATTGGCAACCTTGCCAATGTATTTGCACACTTCTGTTTCAGGCTTTAAATTAAACCATGATTACACAAATGTGTGCAGAAACTCATTAAAATTCTTTAATATAATTAAATGTTCCATGCATATATTATTAATCAGTTCTACCTATGCAAAAGTGAAAGAAATCACCATTTTATAGAATGCGACCCTCTTAACTAACCAATATGTTTCTTTCAACATTGATCTGTACTCTGCTTTCCCCCCATGACCCTTGCAAAGCATTTTTATAAAAAAGAAAATGGTACAAATAAAATTGATCTTCAGTACAAAATAATATTCAGAATTTGAGTTCACCGATGATTTTTTTGTAGAGCAATAACACAGATGTCTCACTACGAGAAATAAGCAAAGGCAATCCTTCTTTAGGCATGTCTAATGAGCCATTATGATAACAATTAAACTCTAACCACTGGCAAGTAACAACTGACACTGCTACAGTATGGCCCCTTCATCAATGCATCAATTATATAGAAGTTGAATTTGCAATGAAGTTTGATTAAACAGAAAATGTGACTGCTGATGAAAGAAAAAGCTGAATGCTTCATTTTTTTATTGTAGTTCACTTCAGCTTTTATTTTAAAAAGGTGTTTTGTTTGGGCCAGATTTTTGTCCCCACTGACACATAGAAAGAGATAGTATGAAATTAACATCTGCATGTTTTCTTCCGTGCTTGTTTTTACAGCTGCTCCACAAGAAGACCCAACAGAGCATGTAGTCCCTATTGGTGAAAGGAGGAAGAGGTATTTGCAAAAATCCCCATCACTTCTATGGTTTTTCACAGCTTACTTCCTCTGATTCCAATAGGGAGTGGAAAGGATGGAAGTAACAAAACAATGTTAGAAATAGAATCCAAAATATATTTATAGTACTTGAGCACACATCCTGGCCTAAGATTATATTGCTGGTTGAATGGTCAATGAATTCCACACCCATTCTCCTTTTCATTACTAATTTATAAAATGCTCTTGAAGAATGTATGCTAGAAAAATATTGCCTGCTCATCCAGCCATACTTGTGCACTGTCATATACTGCTATTTACATACTACCCCACTCCCTCTTTGTTCACCAGGGAAAACGTTCCAAAATATTCAATGGATGACTGAAATGATGCATAATATAGATCCCTATTTACACAATGTTTTTTTTCTATACATATATATTAATTACAAAGTTTAATTTATAAATTGCCCACATTAAAAGATTAACATAAAAATAGAAGAATTACAACAATATACTGTAAGAAAATGTAATAATATATCTCTCAAAATATCTTATCATACTGTACTCATCTTTCTTATTGTGATGATGTGATAAGATGAAGTGAGGTGAATGACACAAGTATTATGACTTAGTGTTACACTACTATTGATGTTCTGAGAGTATGTCAGAGGGATTATTATCTGCTTTGGATGATCCTGGTTCATTGAGCCAAGACAATATTGATGGTTGAGGATTCTCAATAGTTCAATTTTCTCCAAAACATCTTTAGGAAAAACATTGTGATTGATAGTTAACCACCCTCCTTAATCACCCTCCCGGTTGGTTAAGGAGTGCTGGGAGGAACTACGAGAACCCTTAAGGAGCATCATCAACAGCTCCTTGGAGCAAGGAATTTTTCCAGATTGCCTTAAAGAAGCAGTGGTCCACCCTCTCTTGAAAAAACCAAGCCTAGACGCCGCTGTACCTAGTAACTATCGCCCAGTTTCAAACCTTCCATTTTTGGGCAAGGTGATTGAACGGACAGTGGCGGGGCAGCTACAGCAATTCTTAGATGAGACTGTGGGTTTGGACCCCTTTCAATCAGGCTTTCGTTCAGGTCATGAGACAGATTATTCTGGTAGCTATTACTGATGAAATTTGTCGTCAGTTAGACCGAGGCGGATCAGCGCTATTGGTACTCTTGGACCTCACAGCTGCATTCGACACCGTGGACCATGACTTGCTGATTCATCGATTGGCTATGTCTGGTGTACGAGCTTTAGCCCTTAAATGGTTCAATTCGTTCCTCTGGGACCGGAGACAGAGGGTGGAGTGGTTAGGCCAAAGCTCTGAGAGCTCCTGCCTTTGTTGTGGAGTTCCCCAGGGTGCTATCCTTTCGCCCCTGTTATTTAACATCTATGTCCGACCACTTGCTAGACTGGTGCGGAGCTCTGGCATAGAGTGCTGCCAGTATGCAGATGATACCCAGCTACTCTTGCATCTCAAACCTGGGACAACCGCGATCCCTGAGAACTTTAAGCTGTGTTTGGAAGCAGTAATGAGTTGGCTGCAAGCGAGCAGACTAAAAGTGAATCCTGCAAAAACTGAGATACGCGGCCAGCCGCCAGAATTAATCCAGTCTCTGCCTTATTTCGATGGGGAAGTTCTGGTTCCGTCTGCCACTGTTAAAAGCCTTGGGGTTGTGTTGGACTCAATACTGACGATGGAGACCCAGATCACTGCCGTAAGTAAGCAGGCCTTTTTTCATCTTTGCCAGGCAAGGAAATTGGCATCCTACATTTTGGTAGAAGCATTGGCAAAGGTAATCCACGCAACCATCACCACTAGGTTGGACTATTGCAACGCCTTATATGCCGGCCTTCCGAAGTCAACAACCCAGAAGATTCAGATGGTCCAAAATGTGGCGGCCAGGCT